TGTTATTGTACCAGTACCATGCTGTCTTAACCACCACGGCAGTGTAGTTGGATTTGAAATCAGTGAGTGAAATGCCTCTTACCTTGTTTCTCTTTTTAAGGAGTGTTTAAGTAAATCCCTTCTGAAAATAAAAAATGAAGTAGGAGGCATAGGATTCCCTGATTTCAAAACCTACTATGCAGAGGTCGTAACTAAAACAGCATGGTACTGGTACAGTGACAGGCACATAGAAGAAAGGAACAGAACTGAGAACTCAGAAATGGACTTCTCTATCTGTTGTGAACTGATATTCCACAAGGAAATCAACCCTATCAAATGGGGAAATGACAATCTCTTCAATAAACAGTGCTGACAAAGTGGACTGCTACCTGCAGAAAGCTGAAATAGGATCCACATCTCACACCATACACAAAAATCAACTCAAGGTGGATCAGAAACCTGAGAATAAAGCCCAAAACCATAACATTCATAAGAGACAAACTGGAACCAAGTTTAGAAGGCCTAGTGTATGGCATTGGAAGCAGAAGTGGCATCCACTTCCTAAATAACATGCCTCCAGAAACTCCATGAACTTTGATAAATATTGATGGTTGTAGAGGGACATCAAGCCTCTTGTTCATAGGGTTGCTATGAGTTGTGCTTGACTCAAAGGCAAGCAACAACAATAACAGTGTATGGTATAAAGAAGTTGTCAAATACAGCCAGAAATACACAATCTGGTGAAGATAAGAATTGATGAATGGAACTTTCTAAATACTAAATCCCTATGCTCATCATAAATTTTTCCCAACAGGTGAAAATAAAGCCTACCAAATAGAAACAAATATTTGGCAATAGCAACTCAGGCAAGGGTCTCATAACAAAAGTTTACAAAATATGCCTGGACTTCCAGGTGAAAAAGACTGATGTCCCAATTACAAAATGAGCAAAAGATATGGAAAGACTTTTCCCAGAGGATGGCATTCAGGTGGCCAAAAAACACATGAAGAAATGCTCAAAATCACCGCCAATAAGAGAGATGTGAGTCAAAACCACAATGAGATAGAATCTGACCCTCGTAGCAGGGACAAAGTTTAGCTGGGCAGAAAGCAATAAATGTTGGGGAAGATGTGGAGAGGTGGGAACTTTCACACACTGTTGGTGGGATTTTAAAATGGTCAACCACCTGGAAGACAGTTGGGTGTTTCCTCAGACAGTTGAACATAGAAACTCCATAGAACCCAGATATTTCACTACTAGAAATATACACCAAGGAAATTAGAACTGAGACACAAATGGAGGTGTGTACATATCTCCAATACGCAAAATGAACCAAAGTTCTACATATGAACAATCATAGTAGCATTAATCACCATCACAAGAACAGGGAAACAGCCCAAATGTCCAACTCCAACTGAATGGATTGAGAAATTGTGGTACATTCACACAATGGACTAGTATGCAGCCGTCAAGAACAAAGATTTCTAAAAATACTACATTGTACAAATAGATGGCTAACTAGTAAAGCATGCAGGGCTAGAAGAGCTGAGGATGGGTCGGCGTGAAACTATAGGGTTGCACATTTGGTGGATGGAGAGAGGAGGGGAAGGAAATGGGAAGGATCAAGGTGAAAAAAGAGGGCAATCATGGGCAAAGTTCAATGGGGATTAATTTTGTAAAACATAATGCATGAGCTGTTTGCTTTTGGAGGTGAGAGAGATTTACAGTCCCCACCAGCTCCTGGAGCCAGGGAAGGGCCCTGTAGAGAGATCAGCTCACCTCGCTTGGAAGGGGTCACATCTCTTGGCCACCCTCCTCCTTTCACCCCCCATATTGGCCCGTTTTCTTTTGCAGGTGAGAGAAAGATCTATGTCATGCCTCTCCTCCCCTGCCAGCTCCTGAGTCCAGGGTGGGGCCATGCAGATCAGCCCACCTCCCTTTCAATTTTTTCACATGCATGGAGAAGAGTATTGGATATACATGGACAGCAAAAAGAACAAATAAGCTATCTTGGAAAAACTGAAACCAAGTTGATCCTTAGAGGCAAGCATGGTAAAACGTCATCTTAATATATTTTGGGCATATTGGGGAGGGGGGCGAAGGTGTCATTCCATGGAAAAAGACACCACGCTGAGAAAGGTAATGAGTCAGCAAAGAAACAAAGGCCTTCAACAAGATAGACTGATGTAGTGGTTAAGTGTGACAGATCCTGAGGATGCTGCAGAGTAGGGCAAGGTTCAGATCCGTTCAAAGGGTCGCTATGATTTGTTTTTGACTGGATGGCAACTTAAAGCAACAACAATAACTAATGTTCTTGAACATTTCTTCATGTGCTTAACCATCTGAATGTCTTTAATGAAATGTCTATTCATGTAATCTGACCATTTTGTAAATTGGTTTCTTGTCCTTTTCTTTGCTGAGATGTTGGAGTTTTCTATAAATGCGAAGAGTAGTTTTTTTGTCAAACATATTGCCCATTTTTTTGTTTGTTTGTTTGTTTTTCACAATCTGAAGGTTCTCTTTTTATCCTTTTTTGGTATAGTTTGAATTAAGCCTTAGATTTCTATTAGTCTGCCTTTTCTGATTCAGCTCTAAAGAATGTAATATTATGTGTGACCTAGATGTTGCCAGAGCAGATCTCTTCATTCTAGAGAAGGAACAGAAAACTATAAAAGCAGACAAATAAGATAAACCTTAGCACAAAGCTATCTGCTCAAAAATATGTTTTATGTCAAGTTGGATGAGGAAAAAAAGTGCAATCAATATATCAAGAAAAATTAAATTCTGGCTTATTAATCATGCAGTGTTCTCATAAAAATAGTCTATGAAAATCTCCTTTGTCACCATGTGGACATAACATTTTCTAAATTAGTGCAATATTTGCTTCTAATTTCTAAAGATTTTTTTTCCTTACTAACCAACAATGGTAAATTAAAATGTGCATTTTTATTATAGAAAATACATAAACAATCATTGTTTATTAAAGTCTGTTGAAAATCACACGGTAAAAACTTGTTTCTGTTTTTTCTTTTTATTACTGCCAAGAACCACAAGGAACTCAACAACAGGAAACCTAGAGAAGATGTTTATCAAAGAAGCTGGACTCTGACATTAGGATATTTAGAAACTAAAGAAAATAAGGCTCCCTCATGTTTTTCTTTATTTGATCTTTCATTTTTTTGAGGCAGCTCTGGTGGTGGTATAGTGAATAAGGAGTTTCACAGGCGGCAAATGAGAAAAATCTCTCTGGGGAATTTACAGCCTGAACAGTCAGATGGAAGATTAGCTGTGAGGAGATTTTGACTCAACAGCAATGAGTTTGAGTTTAAGTTTTGTGTTAAATGTGGTGAGATAACATATGCTTGTGTGTCTCCAGCAGTTCAGATCCATCAGTGTTTCTTTGGGAGACAGATATGTAGTCTCTTCCTTATAATGTACAGGCTAGGAAACTGATAGAGGTCAGAATCAACTTGGCAGCACTGAATTTTAGTTTTGAATCATGCAACTCAAGATGAAGAGGTTAGATTAAAACATTGTGATGCAACAAATTTTACGACTGAGTACACTCCATTCTGGCTTTTGTTTTTGATGTTGTTGTTGTTGTTGTTAGGTGCTGTTAAGTGGAAGCAACTCCTAGATGATGCTTCAGTTGATTTTCAGGGTCAGTAAATCATATGGAAGTTGATTGCACATCTTTCTTCCACGAAGCAGCTAGTATGTTCAAACTGTGTACCTCTGAGTTGGCAGCTCAGCTTCCTCCCACAAGGCCACGAAAGCTCCCTTCTTGTTTTCTTTGGCCTTGTCTATTTGGAAGAACAGAGACACAGCTAACAATTTTAAATATGGATCAGAAGAAAATCGGTCTCTAAAGATCAGTAAGTAGCTTCTCGCTTGTATGTTACTCAAGTGAATGTGGTAAAAGTCAGCTACTGACCTCCAGTCAACATTAAACTCCAGAAGGTAGGATATTGCCTAGTATTAACAGTTTGTGCAACAAAGCAATTACATCACAGTTAACTTTCAAAAATAAAAATTTTTCAAATCTACATTGTTCCATATTTTATGAAAATACAATTTTGTTAATTACGTGACTTACATATATGTATGCATATATTGTTAACACTCTTAAAATTGCCATCTCTTATTTCTCAACACAGAACACGTGAACTCTTCTCTGAGTTTATTACAGTCTAATCTCCATTTCCTTTTCTTAATTCTTAACTACTGATACAGTATTGGATTGACACAGTGACTCTAACAATGGGGTGGAGTGTAATTTCTATCTCTTGTTTTTGTGAAGGTTTCTGTGAGTTGTAGTTACCTCAATGTCATCTAACAACAACTGACAATTTCATTCAGTTTCATAGTAAATGGGAGGTTAATTGACACATGTAGCTAAATACATTATACAATGATAAATGTGGTAAAGATATTTTCTATATGATCAAAATATTTAGCAATGCTGTAATTATTAATAGTAACGTGTATATTAGCATGTAAGTTATTGGTGGATTACTGGTTCCATTTGAGCTGGAGGTTAAATCCTTTGTGTACCACCGGCCAAATAGCGACACTGTTAGTATAGGCCCAGATGTTCCATTCTTGTTTACCAAACGCCCATCTTTTAGAACCTAAAGAAAAGCAAAATGATAAAAGAGCTTCAGCTTTATTAAAATACATATTATAAGTGACTAATGATTTTCAAACTACATTATAATAAATAGAGACAAGACTGAATTGTCAAGGATTTCCTTTTACCTGCATCCACAATTAACACCTAAGGAAGCAGTCATTAAAACTCAAACTCTTGTTGCATTGGGAAAATCTGTTGCAAAAGACCTCATGAAAGCGCTAAAGAGCAATAACGCCACTTTAAAGACTAAGGTATGCCTGACTCAAGGGGTAGTATTTTCAATTACTTCACATGCATGTTGAAGTTGGACAGTGAACAAGGAAGAAGGGAGAAAAACCAATGCCTGGGAATTGTGTTATTGATGAAGAATATTGAATGTACCATACTGACAAAAGAACAAACAAAAAGTAAAGTAAAGATTACTAGGATGGCACAGGACAGAGAAGATTTTTACTTGTTGTTCATAAGGTTGCTATGAGTCAAAGGCAAAAAAAAACCCCATTGACTTTGAAATGAACCTAGATATCAGTGCTTCTCAAGTAACTATCATAAGGAGAGAAGAGCACGTACGACAGGAAGGGAATAGCTATTTCATATGTAGTAAAGACTATAGTGACTCTAGATGGTCCAAGATGATCATTAAACATTTTGAGTCAGTTGTTGTGGCAATGAGATCAGGATCTAGAAGTAGCAATCACACTTATTTTTCAAAAGGTTTAAAAGTTAATGGTAAATCTGGCAAATTCTAAACCCAAAGTGATGAATCCCTGCATTAGAGAGAAATGAGTTGGTTCTTGGGGAACAGGAAAAGTGGTCAGGAGGTCTGCGACAGAGTAATTGGACTAGGTTGCTTCCCAGAGTGAGAACAAATCTGTTAGCAAAAGAAGCAGTTGCAGTCTTTCTCCGGTGCTATAGATCAGAGACATCATCTTGAAAAGAAGACACTGAAGATGTAAAGGTTCATTCTGGGACAAGAGTTTGTATGACTCCAGTCAGTTTAAAATCAATAGTGTGCTGGAGGAAGTGGTACACAAGATGTTAAACTGTCAGGGACTTTGCCAGCTGGTGATTGCATCCATTCATATACTTGGTCATGGACAGAATATTCATACTATGAAAGCTGGCAAATGCTACAGTGTTAAAATTTTCAGCACTGGCTAGAGCTGAAGATTGATTATTGTTTTTGTTGTTAGGTGCCAGGTACCTATGAGATAAAGTCTCACCATCCTTTCTAAGGGCCTCTCTCACTGTGCTGCTTTTAAGTTAGATTTATTTCTCCTTCTACAAGTCCATGGAATATTCTATACTTTGCCAACAACACAATTCAAATGGATCAGTTCTTGCATTTTTTGCATTTATATGAAGCGACTTAAAACACTATGATCTGAGCCAGGCATCCTCAGTCATCAAAATGATATCTTTGCTTTTAAAGGCTTTATAGAAGCCCTCTGCCACAGATTAGAGGGGAAAGCAGCTCCTGAGGTCAAATAGGAAAAGTGGGCCCAGACTGTTACAAGTCTAATCTGTCCCAAAGCCACAGATAAATTTCTGCCAGAAAAGAATGTATACCAAGAAAGAGAAAAATAAATCCATTAGCTACAGGGAAAACCGACTGAATGAGGGAGAGCTCAGAGAGTCGGAAATCAGATACTTTCTTCATAAAAAGAAGAAGAAAATCATTAACTACCATAAAAGTATTAGGGTGATCACATGTTCACAAAAATCACAAAAATTAATTGATAAGTTGTCAATTAAACTACCTGCTACTAATGAAATAAATGAAGTATAATATTAACTGTCTATTTTTATTAAGTGTTCATTACAGAAACAAAATACCAGAGTTGTATTTTAAATTAGAACTGAATTAACATTTAAAATAAGTGAGATGTAGACACTTTCTATACTCAGCACTCTTCTTTAATAAGGACACTCTGGTGGCTTAGATGTTAGGAAATTGTGCTGTCAACCCAAAGGTGGCGGCTCTCTGGTGGTTCAACTCCACCAGCAGGCCCTTGGGGAAAAGATAAGCAATGTCTCTACCCGTGTGATTTATAGTCTCCAAAAACCCTCTGGAGGGTCAGCTATGAATTGGTTCCAACTTGATGACAGTAAGTCTTTAAAATGATGTCTATTTTTCATCTTCATTTTAGTTCAAGGTCATAACATGCACTATACGATTTACTAGCCTCTTAAGCGGTCTTGGGCTCTCCCTTTGACATTGAATCAGTTCTGACTCAGATTCCATCTATCTCTCTCCCACAGTGACTGGTGGATTTGAATGACAGAGAACATGGCAGGCAGCTGTCTCCCGAATTTCTGGTCACAGGCTGATGAGCACTGCCAGAGCAGAAACGGTTTCTTGAAAAGCCCCAATTAATATTCCATCCATTCCTGGGGCTTGTTGTTGTTGTTGTTGTTGTTGTTGTTGTTGTTGTTTTTACACCAATGCCTTCAGTGCTTCAGTGCAGCATGGACTTCTTCCTTCAGAACTTTTGGGTCTGGATCACATGCTACCTCCTGAAATGGTTCAGGGCTGGCCAGTTCCTCTTTGTACTATGTGTATTCTTTGCATCTTCTTTTGATGCTTCCTGAACCATTGAATATGTTGCCATAGAATCCTTCAGTATTTTAACTAAAGGCTTGAATGTGTTCTTCATGTCTTTCAGCTTGGGAAATGCCAAGTGTACTCTTGCCTTTTGGTTTTCTAACCCCAGCTCTTTGCAGATTTTGTTATAATGATACTTTTCTTTGTCGTCACAGGTTATCCTTGGTAATCATCTATTAGGCTTTCTTACTTCAATATTCTTTTCTTTGTTTTTTCTTATTTTCATTACACTGCAAGTCTCTGAGTCCTTCTGACATCCATTTTGATCTTTCATTTGATCCCGAGCCCACGCCTGCCTCAATTCCTCTATCAACTCTGTTTTCCTCTTTCCTAACTTTGTTGAAATGACTCAAGATACTTTCAATTACTCTTATTTATGCCAGTCTCACTGCTTTTTAAACACTGGATCCCAATTCCAGACCCCTTGTTTCAGATCGGTCATTCACTACAGAGGGCAGGTAAGTTGATTTTCCAGCCTCAAATGACATGAGAGTTTCAACCTAATCAAGCTCCATGTGGTCAAGGACAGCTGTGGCAAAGATTTCTTGGCGTTATGGTAGCATTGGATTCTACTCTGTTCTGAAAACAACTGGCTTCCTAAAGCTGAAGATTTGGCCAGATTACAGGTCTCTCCTTGCTGCATGCGGAGCTGCTGATGGATTCAAACCACGTGCCTTCTTGATTGCAATAAAGCTTCTTGCCACTAGGCCACCAGAGCATTCTTCAATAATGGTATCATAAGCTTATAGGTTCTAAATATCTTGTCTTCTCAGCTAAATGCCAACACTTTAGAATTAGTTGCTGTAAGTTCCAATTATAGCTCAAGGATCCCTTTGCACCTTTGCAAAGTGCACCTTTGCAAAGTGATTTTACAACTCTTCCAATAAAGAGGTCTGTATCATCCAGTTACCCACTTATTTACTCTACATTGTTTACGTGACTTGTTTTGACCCATAAGGCATTTTCAAACATGGGGCAGAGATTTGAAAAGAACTTGTACAATGTAGCTTTTCCTGGTGATGCTTCTGTAATCCTTCAGCTGCCATGTGATAAAGCCCAAATTGTTGAAAGATGGCCCACTACATGAAGAGAGTAGCCTTCATCATCCAGTTGTCCAGGAAAGGCCATCACAAATCAATCTGCCTAACCAACACAGCAGATGCCTGAACATGTCTAGCCAAGAGCGACTGGACCCATCCCAGACCAGAAAAGCAACCCAGAAATAACCTGCACAAACTGATAACCCAGAAATATTTTGGCTGAGATTCTAGGTTTTGTTTCAAAGAATTACATTTTGAAGTTACAAAGAAAAAAATTAACCGATAAAAACCAGCTTAAGTTGGTTTCATAAAAGAGAGAAACAGAAGACAACTCTTAAAATTTCCCTACCTCGAATTTCCCAGGTGACAGACGAATTTTACTAAGGAGCACTTCAGGAAAAACATACTCTGTTCCAAAGGAGCCACTCAATGAGAACATTTCAAATCTCGTAGCAGCTGTTTCTACTGGCCGTCCACATGCTGACACATTTGCTGTTTTGCACTTCAGCATTGTGCAAACCTAAACGGAGCAGATGAAAACAAAACGGAATGCTCTCTGGGTAAGATACTGGTACTAGAACTGTGGCTTTCATTTTTAATCATAACCTGGAAATTATTTACTTTTTATATTTGAGAATAGGATTTGAATTGTGTGTCCTGTAATTATCTGCTTTATTGAAAATGACAAATGCTTAAGAAGTGATTTCATAGATAATAAGTGGACTTAAAGATAGAAATCAGTTAGAGGGAAGTCCTTAGTTTTCCATAACAGATGATGTCACTTACCTGAAGGTAGCAGTGGTCATAGGACCAATAGAACTAACATGAAATAGCAGTGAATTAGATAATTAAAAGGATCACTGTCCTATAAAAAGTGACTGAGAATTCCTTTGCTTTGGACATTCTTATGTCCAAGAATTCTATCCCTTATTCTCTTGGATTTCTTTTTAAAATTTTTATTTTATATTGGTTTGCTTACAAAGTTTATGTGCATTGTGCTTCATACAATTATTCTTGTGCATTGTGTTTTATAAATTTGCTCACCATTGGATTTTGTCCACCATTACCCTGCCTTTTCTGGTCCTTAGCTGACCTTCCCCATTTCCTTTACTCCCTCCGTCCACCCACCACATTGCGCAACCCTGTGGTTTTGTCCCAGCCCATCTTTGAAGTCAAAATCTTTCAACTTTAAGAAGCTTACAAACTGAAAACATTTCAATTGAGAGGAATAAAAAGATTAGGGTATCTAATACAAGAGAAACTTAAGATAAAACTGATATTCCTACTTATGTTTTGTTTTAAAAGAGAAAATATATCTTTTTTTTTTTTTTTATATTCAGACAAGCCAGCAAGCTACTTAAGGAAGTCTTCTAACTGAAACTCAACATAATATCATGGTTAGGTTAAACATAATAACATAATTTTTAAATCATCAAACTATCAAATTATATTAATTCTGATTATAAATTTGATTCCCAGGCATTTGATCCATCACAGAGTGTGTATGTGTGTGTTATAGACTTTGTCAATGCCTCAGGACAATAAAAAGCAGCCCTGGAAAGTGTGAAAAGTTAACCATGGAATCCACCTTCATAAACCCTCTCCCCTGCACTGAGATTACCTGCCAGTACTCTCTCCTCCTTCGTCCATGATAGCCTGTAAAAGCTCCCAGAACATAGATTTCGTTCTCTTCTTTTTGTAGCATTCTGTAGCTTAAATGACAACAGAGCTCTTTCTGACAGATTGTAAGGTTTCCTGCACTTTCATAAAGTTCTGTGAAGTTGAACTCATCACGGGAAACAAATCCTCCAAAGGCCGTTTTCTGTATTGGAAATGGTTTGATGGTCTTGGCATAAGCACTCCAGCTTGCAGGTGGTGGGTACATAGCGGAGGCCCGAGGGTGGGAATCCATCTCTGAAAACAGGAGCTTCCCAAATGAGGTTTCCATATCGTAATGGTACACTTTGGGAGAGTGAGGTGCATAGATACCACTCCCTGTGGATGGAAGACAACAAGACTTCTAAAAATGACATCAAACCCCAACACTGGCAGTTTCCCCATTAGAATTGGGCATTAAGCATATTAGTGACAAAGAAATAGCATACATGTATTCAGTTATATGGAAAAACCTAACTACTTTCTTTAGGAATTTTTTTATTTTTATTTTTTAGAATTAACTTTAATGAAAGTTTACAGAGATTTTGGATTTCCATACATTCATCGTTGCATTTTTCTTTCTGCCCACCCCTCCCCCTCTTTAGGAAATTTTAAAAACAGAATGTATATGAGTGATTGTTTGAAACCCAATGTGAATGTAGGAATGTGTGAAATGTACATGAATGATATACAAGGTATATGAAATTTGTATGTGAGCAGATATAAAATAAAAATAGAGATGAAAACCAGACAGTCTCAGTTAAATTTTTTTAAAACTGTGGCAAGAAGCTGCTGTGCAATCCCAAAGCCATGAAGTTTGAATCCACCAACTGCACTGTGGGAGGATGGGTGAGCTCCTCCGATGTGATGAAGTTCTCTCAGAAAACCTGCTGCAGGATTAGCTCTGAATCAGTCCTGACTCCATGACACACAGCACCACAGTGTTATTATTAGTGCCATGGAACATTACAGCAGAAGAATAAACGCCTTTGAGTAGTGCTAGAAAAGAGTACTGGATACCCCACGAACTGTCGAAAGAACAAATAATTCCACCTTGGAGAAAGTACAGCCAGGTGTTCACTGGAGACAAGGATAGTGAAACTTGGTTTTACATTTTTTAGCCATGTGGTTAGAATGGGCCAGTGCTTAGATAGGGACATCATGCTTAGAAAAACAGAGAGTCAGCCAAAGGGAGGAAGATAAGATGGTTTGACACAGCGACTGTCACAATGGGGTGAAGTGTATCTGAGATGATGAGGATGGCACAGGATAGGACAAGGTTCAGGTCCATTGTTAATAGGGTAGCTGTGAGTCATCATTGACTAGATGGCCCCCAACAACAGCTACACAACAGCAACAATGGAAAGCTACACTGTATATAAATATGTCTGCATTCTGTAGTTCCTGAAAAAAACAAATCTCAGCCTCCTCACCATCCAGTTAGCATCAATTTACGACTGACTCTCTATTAGGTTTTTGGAGGTTATAAATCATACAGAAAGGGATTGTCCGCCTTTGTCCCTCAGAGCCACTGGTGGAGTCAAACCACCAGAGAAGGACCGTCTTCAGGTGAGTCTGGATGGACTGTGCCACCAGAGCTCCTTAGTTTCTGGAAGGTAAGATAGAAAGAAATGTCAAAGTCTTCCTCATTCCCCACTTCTGTGGTCTTAAGGACTTGACATAGTGACTCATAGTTAATGAATAAAGCATAGTAGAAGTGACAAGTGGTTAGATGTAGAGGTTAAGACTAGAACAAAAACAGCCCAGACTTCCTCATACTTTTTCTTTCTTTTTAGATCACTTGCTCTGGAGGAGGTCAGGCCTATGGAAAGGCCCCAGTGATGGGAAACTGAGGACCTCTTGACAACTGTCACCAAGATATGAGAACTCCAGCCAAAACCATGTGGATGTTGTTATTGTTATTTATGTGCTTTGAGTCAGCTATAACTCATAGGTACCCTATGAATAAAGGCTGTGATTCTTGCCCTATCCTGAGCCAACCTCACTGTATCAGACACAGCTGACACCATTGCTGCAGGCACAGTAAGTCATTCTTAAAGCAGATACTCTAACTCCAGTAAAGCTTTCGGGTGGCAATGGGCCCAGCTGCCACCTGAATGCATGTGAGAGCCTGGACAGGAACATTCCTGCTCTACCACTCTCAAATTCCTGAGCAGAAACTATGATATTAAAAAATACTTGTTGTTTTCATGAAAGAGTCTACAGAATATTACGCTTTGTTCTTTTCACGGATGATTCTAAAGGACATTATGTTGAGTGAAATAAATCATCACTGGTATTTAAAAAAAACCAAAAAACTAAACGAGCAGGGGAAAAAACTAGAAAAATATTTACATAAGAAATCTAGCATGGTTATAGGGGTGAGGAGTAGAAAATGTATCTATAGACAATGAATAATTTATTGGAATGGATAAATACAATGGACTATATGGATGCTCAGATGTTGTGGGCATTGGAATTAATAATATGGAATAAAATATGCATGATTAATTGACTGAAAAAAGCTAAGGGAAGGTTTACACACAGTCTTGGAGAATTAACAAAGATAATAAAGGAAGGAAAAGAGAGCAAAGATTAAAAAATAGCCTGGGTGAAAGGAAAGGCAATGTGCAATGGAGGCTTGATTAGACATTATACTCAATTGCATTAATCAGTTGTAATCAATGATAAAAAATGCATATAAATGACTGAAAGAAAATTAATTTTTAAAAAGGAAAAAATTGCGTATTTTTAAAAACACTAAGACACTAACATTTAGGATAGTTTCTTACACAGCAACAGACAGTAACACATTCCAACACACTTCTGAGAGAGTAATGTATTTTCCAGTTCAGTTCAAGTTTGTATTTGCTGGATAATACAATGCTGCATATACTCTGTGTCTCCCTAATTTTAAAAACCAGGATGATAACACCCATCACGTAGCGCTGCCATGAATATAACATAATATGCAGAAAGGTGTTAGCAACCCATTGCTATCATAACCAAGCACTTGATGTGGGAATGAGAAGATGAAAAACAGTGGGGAAGGTTAACAAAAGAGCAAAAGATGATGACAGGCTATTCATTATAATGGTAAGCTGCAAACTTCACCCCATCAGAAAAGAACTTACCTGTCATATTTATACTGGCACGATGTGTATTGGCTGCAAGAAGATTAACTCTCATTCCCATTGCCCAGGCTGAATGGAATTCAACAGCTGTCAAAAAGGGTAACACATTCATCCAAGCTGTAGGGAAGAGTATGGTGTCCACATGGAAATCCTTCACCAGGGTCACTGCAGGTTCATGGAAGAGTATGTCAAAGCAGGTAAAAATGCCAAACTTCCCAAAGGTGGTGTTGAAAGTCACTAACTCTGGCTTTTTAGGGACATCAAACTGAGGCTCATTGTAGAGATGGTGCTACAACAAATGCATAGAATAAAACCTGTTAAAGGTTGTTAATTCCACAGTAACATAAGGTTGGTAATGGTTTGATGATAGGCATGGTCACAGCAACGAATCTCTCATGGGAAACATAAATTTGGCATTTGAGAGGAAATTCCTAAGGAAAGCATGGACGAATAAGCAACATGTATCTGTTCTGTGGACTTCTCCCCAATTCTCACTGTTGGTGTATACTGGTGAATTGGAACTGACTCATAGCTGACCCTAAAGCAGGTCTTCAGAGGCAGTTAATCACATAGGAGAAGGTTGCCCATCTGTCTCCGGTGAAGCAACTGAAGGATTTGAACTGTGTGTCTTTGGGATAGCAACGCAGCTTCTTGCAACTAGGCCACTAGAGCTCCTTCAAATCGTGCTAATTCTTTCATTTTTTTTTCCCCTCTCCCTCTCTCTTCCTCCCTTTTTCCTCTTTCTTAACTAGGAGTCAAAGACTTCTTCATACACCTCAAAGATTATTCATTATCTTCTTGAACTTGAAGATATGTACCCATTTTCTTTGAATCCTTGATACCTCGAGCAATACAAAACCCAAACTCATTGCTGCCAAGTCGATTCCAACTGAGGACAGCACTTCCTCCTGACCCCCTTTGATTTCTGAGGCAGTATATCTACATCTTCCTGGAAGCTCTAGCAGCCCAGTCAGTGGTAAGAGGCTGCACTGCAATCTCAATGGCACTCATCTGGAATCTACCAGCTGCTCTGAACGAGGACAGGCAGGCTCCTCCCATGTGATTTACTGCCTTGAAAAACTTATTGAAGAATCAGCTATGAGTCAATTCTGACTCTGTGGCACAAAACAACAACAACATCAACAGCATATCTTTGTGGGAGGAGAGGCACTACATCTTTAAGCCTTATGGAACTGTTGGATTCCAACGGACTTTTCAGTTAGAAACACAACACACATAACACACATAACTGCACCAATGTTTCAATGTAGTCAAAATTCAAGGTTTTCAATATTTTTTTGCCAACATTATATGTCTTACCTGGCTTATACATACTATAATTTTCTAAACCAATCTGGACATTTCAAGAGGTTAGGCATTAAATAAACAAATTGTAAACAATTAAGTAAGTAAATTGCTGGGCTAGAGAACTCGATTTCTTACCTTATGGTATCGTGCCACCAGTTGTCCTTCTGCATTGTATACCACATTGGTATTGTATTGATAATAGCCATTGGAAGGACATGTAGAATCATGGTCATTACATGGCTTTTTGTCCCCAATATTTGCTACAATATAAATTGAATTATCCTTGGCCAGACAACTGAGTCTTCTTTGTACTGGTGTATGACCAAATCTAAAGCAAGTGTTAATGCAGGTATTTCAATAAAATAAAAATATTTCAAACATTTCATACAGAAATGACAATATGAACAGTATGGGCCAAAATAGAACTAAAGTTAACATAATAATTCTTTCTGAAAAGAGATCACATTGGAAAAGTCACAGATTATATTCCACGCTGTATTTATGGCAAATAATTACCCATACTTCATTCTGCCCCATCAATTATCTCCTCTCTACTGAATATTAGGGTCAGCATCCAAACATAGTCTGGTATCTCCCTTCTTATTAGAAAGAAACTAAATTAAATAATAATAGGTAATAAAATGAAATAAATTTTTAAATAATGAAATGAAATATTCAATAAATGAAGTTGTTTAAATAAAATTCAACAGCAAAACAAACATTCAAGTTCATTAGTTGAAAGTAACTAAAATCAAATCCAACTCTGGAACACAAAAAGTGAACTCCTTAGCATTAGACTAAATAACATAAGTAAAATTAAACCACTCTTGCTCCATCCTCAAGATCACTGATGTGCTTCATTAACTCCATGATTGCAGTCATTGCCAATCACCTCATTGAGGGTTCTTGTCTATTTTGCTGATCCGTTACTTTAACAACCAGGAAGACCTTCCCGAGAGACAAGACCTTTTAACATACTCAAAGTATATGAGACAAAAAATCTTGCCACCCTCCCTTTAAGAAGGAACCTACTTTCTTCCAAGATAGATTTGTCTGTTCATTTAGATGATCACAGTACTTTTCCCACAAATAATCAAGGAGGTTAAAATACCTGTGGTAATCTTGACATGGAATCCAGTTCACCTGAGGGTCTGGGATCTCTTCCAAATAAGGGAAGACAGTTTCCCTGGTGAACGACCATCCATAAAGTGCATCTTCAGGAGTCACGATGATTTGAGCACCCTGTTCAAAGCAAGTCAAATCAAAACAATTCCTCCACACACACACACACACACAGGCTAGAGAACTCAATGCCAAGACATCCTGGTGATGTGGTACGTAGGGCCTTAACTCCTTATCAAAAGATTGATGGTGCTAACTAACCAGTCACCGGTCAGAAAAATAACGTAGCAATTTGTAGTCCTAGAGATCTCAGTCTGGAGAAACCCTATGGGACAATCCTCCTCTGTCCTTAAAGTCATCATGAACTGGAATTTCCTAGACAGCACACAAAACCAACAGCAATCTTCCACCAGCTCACATGCCCTTCCCAAAAAATTCTGGCTAACAGAAATGGAAAAAGTACCTCCTTAGCTGCCTGCCTTATTGCTCTCTCCAGAATATCTATATTCTCGTTCATGAGGATTAAGGCATCTTCTTGAGAAACAGGTGTTTCTGTTTTTTCTGGCAATATGACAGCATGTTCATACACTGCAGCAAGAAACGTGTCCTGGGCACCGATGTCCAAGATAAGAAGGACAAAAACTGCCACGAAGGTTGGAAAAGAAGCAATCATGGTCAAGATCTAGAAGCTTCTGAAACTGAAAGTTACAGTCTTGTATTTATAGAGACATGAATAGTTAAGGTTCTACACACCACTGCCAACTACTGGACTGTTATAGAACTGCTTCCATAAAACGTAAGAATCTCTCAGGGATCCTGGAGGCCTAAAGATGCTAGCCTAAAGGTGGCACCTCGCTGGTGGTTCAAATCTGCCAGTGGCTCCCCAGGAGGAAGATAATCAATTTCCTCGTGTGCAATTTAACAGCCTCTGAAAATCCACTGCAGAGTCAGCTATGAGTTGGTTCTAACTCAAAGACAATGAGAGAAGGAGGGGAAGAGGGAGAAAGAGAGAGGGAGGAGGAGGGTGAGGAGAGGGAAAGAGAGAGAGAGGAGGAGGAGGGGAGGAGAGGGGAAGAGAGAGGGCGGAGGAGAGACGGAGAGGGAGAGGGAGAGGGAGAGGGAGATCACTGAGCGATTGAGCATCGATAGAATCGTGTGTGCGTGTGTGTATTGTGTGCCTTCTACCAGGAACCAATTCATAGGCAATCCTCTAGTGGTTTGTTTTTTTTTTGGGGGGGGGTTGAAATTCTTTTTCTAGTAGGTTTTTCAGAGCCTATAAATCGCACTGAAGATTGTCCATCTTTATTCCTCGGAGCAACTGGTGGATTCAAACCTCCTGCCTATGAGTTGGTAGCACAGCTTTTCATCAGTAGGTAATATATACATAAACCTGGTGACCTAGTGTTAAGAAGCTACTCTGCAATCCCAAAGGCACACAGTTCAAATCCACCAGCAGCTCCACTGAAAAAGGATGGACAATCTTCTTCAGTCCAATTTAAAGCCTCTGAAAAACTAATAGAGGGGCAGTTATGAGTTGATTCCAACTTGATGGCACACAAAAACAACAGGCAATGTACATATGTGAATGTGTAAGTCCACAGGAATCAAGACATGATCTTGAATTGATTCCATCTGAATTTCTTAAGAATAGGTTTGAGGCATTGCACATCAATGATCGAAGACCGGATGAACTGTGGGATTGGGATAATATCAAGAATATCATCTATGAAGAAATGATGTAAGTCTGAAGACTAAGAGCATCTGATTCAGCCCATAGTCTTTTCTATTACTAGCTATGCATCTGAGACATGGACAATAAAAACGGATAACAGAAAAAGAAGTGATGCCTTTGAGCTGGGGTGTTGGAGAAGAGCACTGAACATCCTATGGATGGCCAAGAGAATGAATAGCTATGTCTTGCAGAAGGTGCACCTAGAGTGCTCTTTGGAGGCAAGAATAATGAAGCTTTGCCTTTGGACATGTTGCTAGGAGGTGCTATTCCTTGGAGGACATGATGTTGGGAAGTGTGGAGGGTGGGCAAAGAAGAGGAAGACCCTCCACCAGGTGGAAAGACACAATGACCGCTGCAATGGACTCTTGTGTGTCAGGATGTGTAAGGATGGTGCAGGATAGAAAAGGGTTCAGATCTTTTGTTCTTAGGGTCGCTATGAGTCGTGTTCGACTCGATGTACCTAACAACAACAAAATGTGCATTAATATCCTTACACACACACATATATATGTATATCTGTTGTTGTTGTTGTTGTTATGTGCCGTTGAGTTGTTTGCAACTCATAGCGATCCTATGTACAACAGCCCTAAACCCTGCTATGTCCTGTGCCAATAACACTGCCTCCGACACACCCATCCTGGTTACCCCAGTCACTGAATCAATCCACCTCATAGGGGATCTTCCCCTCCTGCGCCGTACCTCCACCCTCCCAAGCATGATGTCCTTCTCCAAGGACCTGTCCCTCCTTGCAACATGTCCAAAGTATGTCAGACAAAGCCTCAGAATTCTTGCCTCCAAGGAGCTGCCCAGTTTAACCCTCTCCAGGATACATCTGTTTGTTTTCTTAGCAGTCCATGGTACCCTCAACACTCTTCTCCAGCACCACAGCTCAAGGGCATCAATTTCCCTTCTGTCCTCCCTAGTGATTGTCCAACTCTCTGATGCATAACAAGTGATTGCGAAGACCCTGGCCTGTATCAGATGCACCTTAGTCTCCAGAGTTACACTATTGCTCTTCAGTACTTTGGAGAGGTCCCTAAGAGCAGACTTTCCCATTACAATATGTCTTTTAATTTCCTAACTACTGATGCCAAAAGTGTTGACTGTGGAGCCAAGCAAACTGAAGTGGTTAACAATCTCAATCTCTTCACCATCCATCCTGATGCTGCCAATTGACCCAGTGGTGAGAATCTTTGTCTTCTTGATATTGAGCCTCAATCCATATTGAAGGCTGCAGTCAGTCCTTGATCCTCTGCAGCAAGCACCTCAGGTCCTCCTCAGTTTCAGCAAGCAGGGATGTTTCATCTGTGTAACGCAGATTGTTGACAGATTTTCCACCAATCCTGACAACACACTTCTCATGGAGCCCAGCCTCCCGGATAATCTGCTCTGCATACAGGTTGAAAAGGTATGGAGATAGGACACATCCCTGGCATATACCCTTCCCATTTTTGAAACATACACTGTTTCCTTGTTCTCTTCTGACAACTGCCTCTTGGTCTAAGTATAGTTTTTACATTAGCACTATCAAGTGTCCTGGGATTCCCATTCTGTATATGTACATATATACTGTTATAAAACTACTGGATTTTTATTTCATTATCTTGTAAAGTCTGCTGTCAGGGACCAGTATAGTGTACTGAAGAACAATAACATCAATCTGGAGATGAACCTGATCCAGGCCATAGTCTTCACAATTACTTGCTATGCATCAGAAAGCTTTGTAATGACTAGAGATGATAGAGAATCGATTCCTTTGAGCTGTGGTGCTGAAGAAGACTATATACCATGGACTGCCAGGAGAACAAATAAGTTCATCCTTCAGAGGATGAAACCAGGTTGCTCTTTGGAGGCAAGGATTCTGAGGCTTTGTCTGACATATATTGGGCATGTTGCTACTGTGAATAAAGCCACGATAAACATGGGTGTCATCTGCTTGGATGTCAGTTATGGTCTCTTTGGGGTATATTCCCAGCAGTGGAATTGCTGGGTCAAATGATATTTCTATTTGCAACTTTTTGGGAAAGCACCATACCTCCTTCCACAGTGGTTGCACCATTTTAGACTCCCACCAACAGTGAATAAGGGTTCCAGTTTCTCCACAACCTCGCCAGCATTTGTTGCTTGCTGTTCTGTTAAATTTTGCTGTTCTGACTGGGGTGAGATGATATCTCATAGTTGTTTTCATTTACATCTCTCTTAGAGCTAGGGATTTTGAACATTTCTTCATGTGTTTGTTAGCCATCTGAATGTCTTCTTTGGTGAAGTGTCTGTTCATATCTGGCCCATTTTTCTATTGGATTATTTACCTTTATCTTGTTGTGGTGCTCAAGTATTTTATAAATACTGGATGTAAGTCCCTTATCTGACATGTCATTACCAAATACTTTTTTCCAGTCTGTGGCTTCCCTTTTTACCCTGTTAGAGAAGTTTTTGGATGTGCATAGGGATTTGATTCTTAGAAGATTCCATTCATCTATTTTATCTTCTGTTTGTAGGAACAACTTTTTAGAAAGTTGATATTATAGTTCAATGTGCATAGTTAAAAGAGCACTACAAAAATTTATCAACGTGTACCATTGATGAGATTATCTGGCCATTTAAAAATACTAAACTTTAACGAAATTGGGCTATTTTATTAATAGAAAAAAATGGTTGCTTAATTCTCACGTGAAAAATTGTGTCACAATAAATATTCAGAATATTAACTTATAAAACCCTGAGGGTCTCCTGTTCTGTTGAGCAACTTGCATCATATTTAATTTTAGGAGAGAAAGAATTTTTTTAATTCATTTACTCTTTGGAGAACACAATGCAGAATATAATTCATATTGATAGTTATTCTCTTCTGATTTACTTATTATCTTGTAAGATAATGGGCTTATCTTGGCCTGTTAATGGAAAGGCTGATTTTCAATCTTGGAAATCTAAGGATTAGTCACTGTGAGTCCTGACTTAAAGGCAGTAAGGGGGTTTTTTATTTCTTTTTTGTTTGGTTTTGTTTTGTGGGGGTTTTTGTTTGTTTGTTTGTTTAGTAACATTTCTCAGAGTTTATTGCCCACCAGGCTACTCAGCAAGGGAATATCCAGTAAGGGAGGTTTTTGTTTTTTACTAAGAAGAAGCACACTCTGAAGGAGTGGCCATCTGCATTGGTTTACTCACCCCTTTACAGCCTGAAGCAAAACTCCTGAAGGGCAGCATATCTGCATTGGTTTACTCACATGTTTACAGCCTGAAGCAGAACACCTCCAAGTGCATGTGCTTCCAGATGTTCAGCCAGGCGAGAATTCAAAATTTCACCTGAGCTCAGAGACTACCAATCACCGCCTCAGGGTGTCACCCTGAAAGAGGGTCACTGTGAGTGAAGGTTGGTGATAATAAAAATCATCAGTTATAGAGAAGACATGATTTCCTATTTTAATAGAGACAGATAAGCATATCTTCTCATTGTGTGCCATCAAGTCAGAAGTGATTCACAGCTGTATCTCCAGGAGGTTTTTGAGGCTTTAAATCTCAGGGAAGGAGATTGCTCATCTTTCTCCCGAGAAGCAGCTGGTAAAGCTGAACTACTTGCCATGGGGTTGGCAGCACCACTTCTCATTAGACCACCAGAGCTCCAAGGCCACCAGAGCCACATACCACGCACCAAAACCTAAACCAAACCAGCACCATCCAGGTGATTCTAATTCATAGTGACCCTGTCGAACAGAGTAGAACTGTCCCACAGGGTTTGCTGAGGCTGTAAGCTTCACAGTGCAGATTGTCTCAACTTTCTCCTGAAGAGTCACTGGTGGATTGAAATCTCAGAACCTTCAGGAAGCAGTCACATGTCTTAACTGCTGTGCCTTGGGACTCCTCTGATGACCTCCTACAACATCCAGCAATTCCACTACTGGGAATTTACCCTAAAGCAACCACAACTGCCACCTAAGCAGATATAT